CGGCGTCCTCATCCCCAACCCTGGCAACTCCTTCACCCACACCAGCGGCTCCTTCACCCACCCCGGAGTCCTCCTCTCCCCACCCCGGCGGCTCCTTCCCCCACCTTGGTGGTGCCCCCCCACTGGCGTCCTCCCCCACCGGGAGCCCCCAATGCCCGTCAGATCCGACGGCCATGGCGCTCCCCATGCCAGGCTCTGTCTCTCCCCCTATGTTGCAATTGTATGTTTCAATTGTTTCAGACATTTCAAAGGGATGTTGCAGTTGAATCATATGGATGTTGCAAAAGAAGATCGGGGGGATGTTGCACATGTTTGCATATGTTGCAAGTGTTTTAGAGGCATGTTGCGAGCTTTTGTTTGAAATGTTTCATCTGTTTCCAGACGTATTGTTGCATGCGTTTGATCTAGATGTTGCATATGTTCCATACATATGTTGCAATAGTATGTTCCAAAATGTTTTATCTATTTTAGTCTTTTGTTGCAACAAGTGTTTTCATGTTGTAAGTTGCAAGTGTTCTATCTAGATGATGCATCTATTTTCACACATATGTTGTAATTGTATGTTTCAGATGTTTCATCTATTTGAGACGTATGTTGCACTCAAGTGTTTCATGATGTACGTGTTTCATGCTGTTCGGAGAGTCAGGGGCCGGGGAATGGGGCACGGTGAGCCATGGATGTGGCGCTGGTGCTCTAGGGGGGCCCGTGATCGGGGGCACGACGAGGGGGAATGCGCTGCCATGGGGCAAGGCGAATGGATGGGGATGGGGGACGGGGAGCGGGGTACGGGCGTGTCAGGCGTGCGGGGGGCGTCCTATGGAAGTTGGGTCCATGTGCATGTGTGGGAATAGAGGGGCTGCAGACGGGCGCGTGGGCAGGGGCAGAGCATCAGCGTACACAGACGTCCAGACGCTAGGCGTGCCGTAAGCTAAAGCCATTGTGATCGACACCGTTATACATCCAAGATTTGCGTCTATATAAACAGTTTAATATTGCTTACCCCCCTCTCTCTCAAATAGGAGGGGCTTTTGAGGTTTTGGATTGCAACTTCCAACTCCCTCACGTGTTAGGTTGAAAACGGATAGAAAAAATCCCGTTTGGATCCGTCCCATTTTCCACTTTTTGTCCGCCCGTTTCCGTAGGATCTCATTTCTACGGAAACGGGAGAGGGGTTTTTAGCCTGTTTCCGCGTGATACTGTTTTTATTCCGTTTTTCATCCCGTTTTCAATCTATGTGAGATGTGTCTAAAAATTGATATGTTCATAAACATACTAATCACTAATGATGCATGTTAACATGTTAACACATGACATGCTAGTGAACATTGTACCGATAACTTCGTACGTGTATATTATTTTATGACTTTGTTCATGTATATTCGGGAATATTTGATCATGTTATTCTAACTTAATTTCTCGCTCTTCATCCGTATTTGTCTGTTTCTGTATTTTCGTATATCACCATCCGTGTTCAATTTTGTTTTTTTTTCTGAACCTGATCCTATTCCCGATTAAAAATATAGAAACGAAAACAGAAGAAGAGTTTTTCTACGTGTTTCCGTCCGTTTTCATCCTGGTCACGTGCAGACCACCAAAATCTCCGTGCCACTGCTGACCATGGTGATTCAGGTGCTGTTTGGATCCCTCCTGTTTTCAAGAATCTGGTTTTTTAAAACTGGTTGGGATCAAATAAACTAGTTTTTGCCTAGTTTCTTATGTCAGTTTTTACTAGATTCTTAAAAACCAAGAAGCTGTTGATACTCAATTTTTGCTAGTTTCTTGTGACCCCGCGAGCAATAAATAAAGCCAGATTATTAAAAACTAGGGGATCTAAACACTCCAACCAGTTTTTCCTCAGAATCCAGATTTTAGAAAATAGAGACAAAAACTGGTTTTCAAGAATCTGAGACTCATCCAAACATGCCCTCAAAGACCAAAGCTGCTGGTAGGTACTCACTGCGTCCAGGAAACAATGCAACTATGGGATTCGTTTCTGTCAAACTAGTTGAAGTTTGACTAAGTTTATAGTAAATAGTATTAATGTTTATGTCTTCAAATAATTTATTATAAAAATATATCCTATAACGAATTTAATGATACTTATTTTGTATCATGAATGTTACTATTTTATATATAAATTTAGATAAAGTTTAAACTATTTGACTTCTTAGAAAAAAAAGAGAATTTCTTTTGCGGAACAGTCGATGCCGCCGGCCATGAAGTCTGCAGCGCTTTCTACTGTCACCGTGCAGTCTACTGCTGCGAATTTTTTATTTTTAACGCTTTTTTAACACAACTTTTAAATCTAACACGGCTTAACTTTTTTTTAAAACTAACCTTTTTGGTCACGCCTTGCTGGTCCGGCCAAACCACACTGCCGCGCCATGCATGGCAGCGCGGCAAGCCTGACACATGATAGTCTACCAAGCGCTGACTCGCGTTGACGTGGTGCACCTTATAAAAATCATATTTTTTCATATGATATCAGATGAAGATGATCTTTATATGAAAATTGTAGCTTTCGATGAGAACTATAATTTTTTAGTTTTGAGTTTTTTCATTTGAGGTCGTTAAGATGTTAAAAAAATAATATAAAGTTTCAGCATCGTATTAATCGCGTACAAGCGCTTGTCACGTTGGAAAATCGTATCTTTCTTATATGGTGTCAAATGGGGATACTTTCTATACAAAAGTTATAGCTCTCTATGGGATCTATAAATTTATAGTTTTGAGTTTTTGTATTTAAGATCATTAAGATGCTCAAAAAAATAATATAAAGTTTCAGCATCGTATTAATCGCGTACAAGCTCTTGTCGCCTAGAAAAATCATATCTTTTTGTCCGGTACTTTTTACATAAAAGTTATAGCTTTATTGAGATCTACAACTTTATATTTTAAGTTCTCTTTTGAGGTCGTTATCTTCGGCGCGTGACGTGACTTATTACTAATCCAGAGTCGACTCGCGCAGGTGCTATCAAAAAACGGATGACGATGATTGGTTTGTTTGGCCGATGGTACGACGGTGTTCATGGAAAAGAACTGTGCACCAACCGCATGCAATGGCCAGGGTAGACAACCACCAAAATAGGATTGAAGTCTCGATAAAATCTCATTAACATGCATCTCGTTAACATGCGCATGAACTACAGGCTAAATCCAAATTAAGCCAAATCCAAATCCTGCAAAACGAAATAAAATCTTTTTTTAAGGTGCCCAAAAAAAAGAAAAAGAAGCACTCCTATATGCAGCTGCCTTTACATAGTTTTGACATTCAAATGAATTTTGTGGTCTTAAGATATTCCTTTTGTCGCTTAGTGTAACCGTGTTCTCTCATCATATCCCCTTTACCTAAAAAACGGTGCTTTTATTTTTAACTATTTGGAATTGGCTTTGTCATTAATTTACTCGATCTAAATTTTCTTGGGTAGAATTTGAACTGTGAACTCGAGCTTGTCAAGTACCGCGGCAATGCCGCGTGGGAATTTAACACTAAGCCCTGTTCATTTCGCTGAAAAGCCAAGCTAAAAAGTACCGTTCGCTGATTTGTTACGAGAGAAAAACACTGTATCATAGCTGATAAGCAAAAGCGATCAGGGCTTATTCAAGTTGATAGAGAAGGAGAATCAGAGACCGGAAATTACCCTCTCACTGGAAATGTTTTTCCTCCCGCCGCAATCGATGACGACCCGGGTTCCACTTTCACCTTGCTTGGAACCTCTCATCTAAGAATTGATTTTAATCTAATCAGGATTTTTTTTATATGTAAGCTGCGGTGAAAAGAATCTACAGCCTAAAAAATCTAGGTGTTTGGCAATGGTGATTAGTCTATAGATAGATTCTTTGCTCTATGTGTAAAAGGACATGTATGCCCCTGAGGGAAATCTGAAAAAATCATGTCTTGGGCTGCTCTGTGATAACCTAAAGGAACCAGGGTACTACCTGCACGCTCAAGTTTCGTCAGGCACGGCACACTCTGCGACCTTGTCTATGTTTGGCCAACAAGTACGACTACTACAGTAGCGGCATTCAAATGTGTCAGCATGTGTGACTGTTGAAACATTGCTCCAGGCTGCTGCGACCTGCAGTACTGGCATAGTGGCATGTGGCATGTTTCATGTTTGGTTTGCATGCATAGTGACGTTACCAATTAACGTGAGAGAATCTCGCCAAACTAACTTAAACTTCTGCCAATTAAAAAAAAGTACTGCAACATCCTCATACCGCCGCTAGTAGTGGCTATGATGGCATGTGTAGTAAACTGGATGTAAAAAGTTTGGCGTAGCCAGAACCAAACACGCTACTTAAACATGGCTGGCAAAGAGAACAGTGCCAATCTATGGTATCCAACTAAAACAGGCCCCACGGAGAGTACGTTTGCATGACAACGAGAAAGCAAGCCAACATGCCAGTGCAGATGAGTCCGGTACGTTGGCACACCAGAAACATATAAACTAAGATATTAACAGGCGCGACAACACATCTGACGGCACATGGCCTGAGCTGCTGAACCATCACTTGAACAAAAGTTAGAGCTGAGGGTAAAAACTAAAACAATCCAGTTACCACCTAAAATAAGCTGCGAATTAAAAATCAATGCAATTGGCTCGCCTAATTTCCCCTCTGAAAACGGTAGTGCTCAACTGAGGCTACAACTGCGAACAACGGAAAACACACACCCACGGGAACAAATATCACGCCACACATCACACAGAAATGTTACTGTCAGTACTTAGTGATTGTCCGTACTCACACGTCACACCAATCTAACACTAAGATATAATTACATTAAATAAATTCACCTGTACAAAAAAAACCTGTTACAGCAGCAAGGCTAACAATCCCGAGAGGACCACAATAATTGAATGATGGCGCGGGTTATCTAAGCGTCTTTAACTTTTCTACATATAAATAAATGAATTTGGATGATTATGGGGGGTCTGATTTACATGGAAGCCAGCAGGGAGTATAAGGTTGGTGGCGTCAGGTAAATCAGCCATATGCTACATACTGTCGTTGGATGGCCTATTTGACCATACGATCTCTATCTCTAGGGTTCTTGAGCCGTCCTTACCGCCGTCGTGGCTGAGGCTGAAGAACCCACTGTATACGCCCTCAGTGACAACCTTGTCGATCTGGATGGTCACTCTTCCGAGGGTTGACTGCAATGAAATGAAAATATCAACATTTGAGAAATAACAAAAGAATAACAGGCAATAAGCCAAGAACCAAGAGAAGGTATCTGAAGAAGACATGCCATCCTTTATGACCCCATACCTTTCCAAATGTATTTTTGCTTTTGCATATGATGTAGAGCTTCTGCCCTTTAGGGGCGACATCAAATAACCAAGTGAAACCCTCGTTCCAAGCTGGGCAGATGCTGTGGTTTACCACCTGACGCTCAGCACAAACATCAGTAGCCACAGACAAAAAAGATGTTAACTAAATAAAATACAACATGCAGCAGAGCAGCGATCCCAGTCTTGCAAGGTACAGCAGCTGGCAATACTGGGTTTCAGAGGAAAAGAACCAACTGCACTACAAATAAATTATTGAGTACAATTATCTACAAGAATTACCTTAGTTTGCCTTGGAGGACCATTTCCTATTTGCAGGCAACAAAATGCATTGGTACCCCCCATTGTCTGTTTCAAATTATTCCCACGAATGATGGTCACTGTCAAGCAACCAGGCAAGCAATGCAGCAAACTATCGGCTCTCTCATGAAAACTGGGAGGACATGTCTTCATAAGCATTTGTAGTACAGGTATGGCTTCAGCTGAAATCAGGGACTGGGCTTTAGCAATGTCTTCATTCATTTGCGGCCAAGATTCTTTAAGCAAGCAAAGGGTGTCAAGCACACTCTCCTGGGCAGCCTCATTTCCATCCTTCAAAGCACAAACCAGGTGTGGTATGCACAAGGTTGCCGCCTCAGAAAACCGTACCTTTTTGAAGTTACTGAATATCACATATATGGTCTTCAGAATAACTTCATTGATAGTTGATGTAGAGAGCAGCTCTCTCTCTAAGGCAGCTGCGACAAATTGCATTTGACATTAGAGAATAATCAAATCAATCCATTAGTAAGCAGGATAGCACCCATAAAGCATTTGCAGTTCAATCATTTCATAACTTAATGCGTCTGTTTTTATTGGATATTCATGTCTATACTCTATAGTATCAAAGACAAAATGGCAAATGAAAAAACCATTTAATTTTCAAAATAGAAGGGCATGAGACTTCACTCATGAACATGAAGAAATACACATTTGAAATAAAATATCATGGACACACTTCGCCATAAAGAATGCCGACTCACCAGTGAGAGATCGGATAAGCTCATTCGACACGTATTCTTGCAGTGTATGATTTGAAAATAGGTACTTGATTAGAAGAGCAGCCTGTCCTGAAACATCCACATTTGGTGAAAGAAGCAATTCTTGCACAACCAAAATGCCCCCAGCTTCAGCAACAGCACGCCTATTTGTCCTGCTCTGCATCACTAAGCTTTGTAGTGCACAAATAGCAACTGTTGTCATGTCATCCGTAGGCTGGTCCTCAAGTAGGCTTACAAGAGCACGGCAGGCAGACGCAGAGTCACTTGCCCTTGCAAGTGCTTCATGCTGGAAAATGTCACCTAGTGCAAGAGTCACCAGAAACTTTGCTGACTGGTTCTTAGACTGAGGATCTAACAGGTACTGTGAGAGAGGAGCAATAGCATACTTCGCAACTTTTGTTTCACGGACCCTTGAATTGTTTATCAGCGCTTCAAGCAATCTTGCTGCAGATTCCTCACATCGATGGCTCTTCAGGAGCTCCAAGAGTGCACGTACTGCCCCAGCCTCAGCCATGGCCACAGCACAGCGTGAGCTACTTTTCTCTTGAACAAGTAGAGCACTGAGAGCTATCGTGACGGTACTCTCCATGGTGGAGTTCAGCAATCTCACAAGTACAGCCATTGAGACTTTGACGTAGTTGTCCGAATTATAACGCAAAACATTGCATAACACAAGTGCTGCAGATTCCCATAATGCTTGACTTGGCTGAGGATCATCCTGGACAATTACCTTTGAAAGTTCAAAAATTCCACCTGCATCGGCTACTGCCTTGGGCCAACTCTGTGAGATGTTTTCAAGTGCTTTAACTGCAGTTTGTTGTAAGCTCAAGATTCCAATACCAGCAAGCTGCACCAGAGGAACAACTGCATTTTTGGTGGTGATATCCTGTTGAAAATGTTCCTGTTCTAGAAGATGTGAAAGCACCTCAGTGCCAAGTTGCTGAATTGCTTGAGAGAGGAGACTCAAGAAATGATATTAAAGGCTCAATTATTTGACTGGGAGTCAACTTCAATGCTGCTAGACTCTGAGGTTTCTCCAGAATATTTACAAGTGCTTGCAAGGCACTGTGCTGGTCCCACATAGTAACATCAGGGCGACGTAAAACCAAGAAAAGTGGCTCCACCATTTTTGCAGCAGCAGAACTTTTAGCAATGCCACTGTTGTTTGTCAAAATGCGAAGCAATTCAGCAATGGATGAACTAACAGATACAGGAACATCAAGAATCATATCAAGTGCATGCTCAATGATACCAGCTTTAACCATGTCAAGCTTGCAGTTTGGACGGTCCTTGCCCAACTTTATGAGAGCACTGATACATGCTTCAGACAACTGATAGTTTGTACCAGGAACAAAACTGACAAGAAGATCAATAACTTCACTAGTTGCAGCAACCTCTGCATTGTAGTCCTCATCCAGTAATCTGTTTAGAGCACAAACTGCTGGTTCGATAGCCAAACTAGATCCTGATGTCATCAGTGATATCAAGGGTTGAAGACATTCTGTTGCAATTGGTGATGCACGCGTACAGTTGAGTTTTCAAATAAAATATAGCAGAGTTGAGCAGCATCTTTCTTAAGCTCCAATGACGAACTGAAGGATAAAATTTTGTAAAGATTTTCAAGTGTGTTGCCTTCTACATCAAACATAGCAGAATCCTTAGAGATAGTCCCAGCAGAAAGCTTGATAAGTGCACCAAGTGCTGCCTGCTGTTCTATTTCAGTTCCTGACTCAAGCATGTCAAGTAGTGGTTGAATAGCTTGTCGGGCCACTTCGGTGTCCCTTATATTCTCTGCATCAAAGAGTTTCTGCAACGTCCTTACTGCACTAAGCCTAGAACTTCTCGAGCCCAAAAGTAAGACAGCTACCAGCTGATTTGAAGTGCTGCGTGATGATTCATGGTAAAGAAGATCAGGATTACTATATAAAATCCCTAACAAATTGGTTATAGTAGTTTCAGTTGAGTCTTGAGGGCTTAAAGACAGATACTTAGTCAAGGCATCTAATGCTCCAGCCTCTGCCATAGCAACTTTATTTGCCTCACTACCTTCCGCTAGTTGAGTCAGAAGGTGCAAAGCAATCAGAGGTGCACCTGGCCTGTCTGGCATTGGTTTAAGTAGATCCACTAGCAAGGGTATGGACCTTCGAGCAGAAGCACCGGTGCAGACATCTTCAAGCTCAAAAAGGCTTCTCAATATTATTTGACTTGGATTGTCTGCCAACTTGAATTCTTTAGCCATTGTAACAAGGTTTGGCATATCAGATTCTACTTGTCCGATCAATGCTACAGCACCCAAAACTGCACCAGAATTTACAATAGCAAGCTGTATACCTCTGCTCCCAGTGGAAACAAGGCTAGCCAGTGCTTGAGCAGCAAAGTATTTATCGATGATATCATCAGATTTTAGCAAGGATGCTAAAGAAGGTATTGTTCGTGTTATTTCAGAAGACTGAACAACCACTGAATCCTGAAACAGAGTAGCCAACAGAAGGGCGCAAGTCCATATATTTTCTGAGTCTTCATACTGTTCCTGTAACATGGAGCAGCTATTACAGATTGGAAATAGGCATAGCAATAGAAACAGTAAAATATGTTAAAGACAAGTAATGCAACAAAGAATGAAAGTTGTCTGATCTATGGAATGTAGAACAATTCAGCTATGGTAAGTAGACCGCCACGATTGTTCTGCTTGCTTGTTCTGTTCTCAGCAGTCAGCGCCAATTGAATAGTAAAACTAGTATGTCTAATAATATTTATGCACATCTGCATCTGGTATCTAAGCAATGGAGTTACCAAGAACAAATGGTGCAAATCTGGACCCTAGCGTTTCCAACAATTTACTAGGCAAGTTGGCATATAAAAAATGAAACAGACAGGCAGACCAACCAAATGCTTTCATCTTGCAAAATATAACATTTTATCTGTGGGTGTACGAGTGGACTTAACTCCACCTATGGTGGGGCGCCTTTGGTGTCCCAGCATAGCAGGTCCCAAGCCCTGGTAAAGGAGGAGGGTTGTGTTAGGCGCGGCGAGTCAATGTAAAAACTTAGCCACTTTTATGGAGATGAAACCCAAAAGAATCCCGTTGGGGCATAACCCTCTTAGCGACGCGCCATCTCAGAACCCGGGTATGGTGTTAAATGAGCAAGGGCCGGGCCGTCACCCCCGTGACGCGCCGTGTCGCGATCTGGGCACGGTGTCAAGTGGGCAAGGATCGGGTCGTCGCATCCTTAGTGGCGCGCCACATCGGCGCCCGAGAGTGGTGCAAAATGAGCAAGGGTGTTCACACCTACCTCGGCAGGTGCAAAGGGTAAGGAAGCTAGTCGAGCCAACTAGGATCCGTTAAGGTAGCTGGAATGTAGGGTCCCTTACGGGTAAGTTAAGAGAGTTAGTGGACACAGCGGTTAGGAGGCGTGTAAATATCTTATGCGTCCAAGGGACTAAATGGAAGGGGCAGAAGGCGAAGAAGGTGGACAATACCGGCTTCAAGCTCTGGTACATAGGGACAACTTCAAATAGAAATGGAGGAGTTTTGATTGATAAGAGCCTCAAGGATGGTGTGGTGGAGGTGAGAAGACAAGGGGATAGGATCATCTTAGTTAAACTTGTCATTAGTGATATGGTTTTCAACGTAATTAGTGCGTATGCCCCCCAAGTAGGCCATGATGAGAGTGCTAAGCGGCTTTTCTGGGAAGACTTAGATCGCTTGGTTAGAGCTGTCCCTAGTAGTGAGAAGCTCTTTATAGGAGGTGATCTTAATGGCTATGTAGGTACATCAAGTGCAGGTTTCGAGGCGGTTCATGGGGGTTTCGGATATGGTAGTAGGAACCAGGAGGGAGAGGAAGTCTTAAGACTTTGCTATAGCTTTTGATTTGATGATAGCTAACACTTTCTTTCGTAAGAGACAGTCCCATTTAGTGACCTTTAGTAGCGGCCAGTACTCTAGTCAAATCGACTTTGTCCTTACAAGGAGGGATAAACGAACATGCGTGGACTATAAGGTGATACCTAGAGAATGTGTGGCCGCTCAACACAAGCTGGTGGTGGCTGACTTCCGCTTTTTGGTGCAAGCTCGTGGGAACAAACAAGCTAGGGTTGCTAGAACGAAGTGGTGGAAATTAGAAGATGATAAGGAAAAGGTCATTGAAGAGGGCCCTTGGAAGGATGAAGGCGATGCAAACAGCACGTGGGAGAAGATGGCAACATGCGTTCGGAAGGTTGCTTCAGAGGTGCTTGGAGTGACCAAAGGGAGCGGATGCTACTAGAAAGATACTTGGTGGTGGAATGAAGATGTGCAAAAGGCTATTAAGAAAAAGGAGTGCTATAAGCACTTGTATCTTGACAGGTGTGTAGACAACGTAGAGAAATACAAGGTGGCAAAGAAGATTGCAAAACGAGCGGTGAGTGAGGCAAAGGGGCGGGCCTATGAGGACATTTACCAACGTTTGAGTACGAAGGAAGGAGAGAAGGACATTTATAGGATGGCTAGGGCTCCCGATAGGAAGACAAGGGATTTCAATCAAGTCAAGTGCAAAAAGGATAAGAGGAGCAGCTCTTGGTGAAGCAGGATGAGATCAGACATAGATAGCAAGAGTATTTTGATAAATTGTTCAATGGTGAGAACGAGAACACCACCGTTCAGCTGGACGACTCGTTTGATGACACTAATAGGCGCTTTGTGCGGAGGATTCAAGAATCGGAGGTCAGAGAAGCCTTGAAAAATATGAAAGGGGGCAAAGCGATGGGCCCTAATGGTATCCCAATCAAGGTGTGGAGATGTCTCGGGGATATAGCTATAGTATGGCTAACCAAGATGTTCAACAATATCTTTCGATCGAACAAGATGCCTGAGGAGTGGAGAAGAAGCATATTGGTACCAATCTACAAGAACAAGGGAGATATCCAAAGTTGTACTAATTATCGGGGAATTAAGTTGATGAGCCACACTATGAAAGCTATGGGAGAGTCATCGAGCAGTGCCTGCGAGGAACGACGCAGATATCAACAAACCCATTTGGTTTCATGCCCGGAAGATCAACCACAGAAGCAATCTTCTTAATAAGACAAGTTATGGAACGGTTTATAGAGCAGAAGAAGGACCTCCACATGGTTTTCATTGACTTGGAGAAGGCTTATGACAAGATACCAAGAAATGTTATGTGGTGGGCTTTGGACAAACATAAAGTCCCATCAAAGTATGTGACCCTCATCAAGGACATGTACAACAATGTTGTGACTAGTGTTCGAATAAACAATGGTAACACAGATTACTTCCCGATTAAAATTAAACTTCATCAAAGGTCAGCCTTAAGCCCATATCTCTTTGCCTTGGTAATAGATGAGGTTACCAGGAACATTCAAGGGGATATCCCTTGGTGTATGTTGTTCGCTGATGATGTAGTGTTGGTGGACAAAGGCCAAGCAGGAGTAAATAGGAAACTAGAGTTATGGCGGTAGACCCTTGGGTCTAAAGGTTTTAGATTGAGCAGAACTAAAACCGAATACATGAGATGCGACTTTGGCGGAGCTGCACAGGAGGAGGGAGATGTGAGTTTGGAAGGTCAAGTAGTGCCTAAGAAGGATACCTTTCGGTATCTGAGATCGATGCTACACAGGGATGGAGATATTGATGCGGACGTTAGCCATAGAATCAAAGCAGGGTGGATCAAGTGGCGACAAGCTTCTGGCATTCTCTGTGACAAGAGGGTACCACGAAAGCTAAAAGGCAAGTTTTATAGAACGGAGATTAGAACGGCTATGTTGTATGAAGCAGAATGTTGGCCTACAAAGATTCGACATGTTCAACAACTAAGTGTTGTAGAAATGCATACGTTGCGATGAATTTGTGGTCACACAAGAATGGACCGAGTTCGGAACGATGATATACGTGATCGCCTAGGGGTAGCACCAATTGAAGAAAAGCTTATCCAACATCGGTTGAGGTGGTATGGCCATGTTCAAAGGAGTCCTCCAGAGGCACCAGTGCATTGTAGAGTCCTAAGCCAAGCTAATAATATGAGGAGAGGTAGAGAAAGACCGAAATTGACATGTGGGGAGGCAATAAAAAGAGATTTGAAAGCTTGAGATATACCTAGAGATCTATGTTTGATCAGGAGTGCTTGGAAAACAGCTATTGAAATACCTGAACCGTGGCTTGGGACTCTTGGTGGGTTTCAACTCTAGCCTACCCCAACTTGCTTGGGACTAAAAGGCTATGTTGTTGTTGTTGTTGTTGTGTACGAGTGGACTTCTGTTTCTAGGTAGGAACTTAGCATGATGATTTTTTATGTAAACAGGAACTTTGGGTGGAATCATAAAGAGCATGGGGAAATCATCTCAACTCTTCCTAGAATTTGTCGACTGTTATAATAACCAATAGTCCAAAATTTAAAAGTCATCACTAGTCTAAAATGGCCATTGGTTTTCATTTTAATATGTAACATAAAAGACTAGTGACACCATATGTGCTGATGCATCTGTATAGCTGGTGTCACTTGTCAGCAGGTCACCTAAAATTTATCAACAAGCAGTCTGTTACAGGAACCAATTCAGAATAAAGAAGTCCCTTTAGACTTGAGTTAAAAACATGGAAAGTGGATGGACATAAGAAGTGACCCATCTTTCTTATCCAGCATTACTCAAAACAAGGATGTAAAAATACAGGAAAACTTAGACCTAACACTGTTTGCATGCTAGTCACGATGACAATTCAAGATGGATCTAAGATTTTTCACATTACCAGTACATCTTAGATTACTCAACGCAGCAGTACAGCAGTTAGAAGCAGAAAATATCTCAAATTTAGCAACAAGTTACTCAGATAGAGTGAGTCCTATGAAAACAGAAAAAATAAATGTGAAACATGCACCTGCCGGTTAGCAGTATAGCTAGCAAGTCTATCAGATACTGCATCAACGCCATTGAGCTCCATAACAGTATATTTACTCCTTCCATGATGAGAACAAACCAGTGAGAGCAACCATAGTGCAACAGTTTCTTCAGAAACCTTTCCAAGTTCAGGCACACTCAAAACATCCTGCTCATAATTAAGCGAACTTTTTTCCGTGGAAGGTTTCCAAATTTCAATGTCTAGGGATGTTAAAGAGGAACGTTGCTTCAGCATATCAAAGAGTGCAGATATCAGATTCTTCAGAAGTTTTGATGCTTCAAGAACATCGATCGACTGTTCACTGCTGTCCCTCATTGCAGATATGAGGATGACTGCACTGCTGATTCTTATTTCCATGTCATTTGACTCTATAACTCTACTAGCAAGAGAAGTGATGCATCCTTGACTTCTGTTTAAATATTCACCAAGTAGAGAAGGTCGGCCCTGACAGAGACTTGCAAGGATTTGAATGGACTTATCTTGAACAGGTGGAAGCCCAATACTAACACAACGAATTAAAGGTTCTAAGCTTTCTGGAACTTCAAGAAAACCAGTGCATAGAGGGGGGCTATAATGTGAACCCTCCTTTGTTGTGGCCATCAATGTAAGAACATCAAGGGGTTCCAAATTTGTAACATTGTCCAAATTGATGCCAGATAGACATACCAACAATGCATGAATTATAAAACAGCACTGCGAGTAATCTGGGAGAACTTCACTGAGGGGAAACTGGTTGACCAACTGACGAAGTGACCGTGACGCACTAATCTTGCCTTCTAAACTCCCCTCCTTGAGCACTCTAGTCAAAGCCAAGACAATATTGTCATCTAACGCTTCTTTAGCAATCTGTGCATCTGATAGGAGATTTGCTAATGCAGCAAATGCTGTTTCAGCAACATCAATAGATGATGTCTTTGCCATCTCAATAAGAGGTCTCACATCACCTTCAGTTAGGCAAGACATTTTGTTTTTTGACATGGAACTAGCTGAACATGAAAGCGCTCCTAAAGCTCTGGCAGATTGTGTGGCAATCACTTGGTTTCCACTTGTCAAAAGCTTCATGCATGGCTGGACAATTTCATCAATTGCCAAGACATCACAAATATCCTGACGCATAGTGAAAATATCAGCCAACACAGTTGCAGCAATCTCCTGTGTTTCTTCATTTGATGATTCAAGAACAAGAACCAGTGACCTAAGACCTTTATTAGCTGGGGCTCCACTCTGGATTAGAGCTCTCTGAGGCGCCAGCACAAGGACATGCCCGAGAACTGTAATGACATGAGCCTTTGAACTCAATGAGTCACTGAGCAGTAATGCTAGTAACTGATTGATCGTAGCAGAATCTGCTGATCGTATCAGCTTCTTGAGTGCTTTAACTGATGCCTCCTGTCCACGAGGGCTACCACTCTTTAGAAGCCAAATTAGTGCCAGAACAGCCCCAGCGCTCTCAATACATGCCCTGATATCATCACTGTCAGAGCACATGTTCCACATGATGTAAGCTGCATCCTCTTTGCTTTTTGAGATCCTGTTTCTAGTAGCTGGACAAGTGGAGGGATACCTCCAGCAGCTGTTATTGCCCACTTGCTGTCATCTACTTCATCACTCAAGATAGCCAATAAGGAAACTGCATATTCCTGCTGCTGCTCACTGGAAAGCCCAAGTAATGATATTAGCAACTGAACCCCTTCTCTCTTTCCCAGAGCCTCCCATATTCCAACACCATCACAACACAAGCTAGTTAAGGCACGAACAAGATGTTCTTGAACATCAGCAGGAGCCATGGTAATCAGCCCAACAAGAACCTTCTTAGAATTAGAGTGATCAAGCCTGTCAGAGAGACAATCATTCCCATATAGACTTGCTAAAGCCTCAAGAATACGATCAAGCTTGCTGTCATGAGATTTTAGGAGCACAACCAAAGTATTTTCAATCTCAACTGGGTCAAAGGATTTACCATCAGAGCCATCAAAAACCATCAATGAATAAGCAAGTGCTCCAAGAATGTCAGCAAGGGGAACAGGTGCCCGGGGTGCTTGGCAGAGCTCACCAAGGTAAAGCAACAGAGAAGTTGTTCCCCCACAAATATTTGATAAAGCACGGACAGCATGGCTTTGTAGAGAATGACATGTCTCACCCTGCATGCATTCTTTTGAGGGCGCTACAACAGCTCCAATCAGAATAGGAAGGCCTCCTGCATCCACCACAGCTTTCTTTGCAATACTAGACTTGGAAGACAGGGCCTCCAAAGCATCAGCCGCACTTTCACGAACAGAAATGATATTATCTCGATTTAGAAGGTGAAGGAGAGCCTTAACAGCCCCAGCATCTATAACTTTGGGAATGCTATCACCAAAAGCAGAGATAAACCGTGCCAATAGAGAGGCAGCATTCGACTGTGAAGCAGTATTCTTGGATGAAAGAAGACCAGTAATAATTTCAACACCTCCAGCTTCAAGTGTGGCCTTCCAGTAACCATCTTTGTCCCCACAGAGATTCCTTAAAGCCCCAGTCACAAAGCCCTCAACTACTTTATCTTGGCGAGACCTAGGATTAAGCAAGTCCCACAGAGTTGGCACAACACCTTCAGTCACAAATATTTTCCTGCCTATGTGATCATCCGAAAGCCCACCAGAAGACACTTCATAAATAGCTTCAGCAGCAGCCTTCTTCGCTTCAGCAGATTCAGACTTCAAAAGAGAGATTAAGGGTGGTATACAGCCTCCTAAGAGGACCCTCACACGCAGGTCCTCTTCCTTGCAGAGTGCACTAAGTAGAGCTGCAGCATTTACTTTTGCTGCAGATGACCCAACTCTAAGGGTAGATATAAGTAGTGGCATTGCCTGAGAATGGCTACCTATCAAAATCCTTGCTTCCTTTTTTGCTCTAGCCAGTTCAAGTAACCTTCTGGTTGTAGCTTCCTTCCCCGATGGAGATACCATGCTAGCATGGAGGTCTTCCAACAATCGAGCAACAGTGGACATTGCACTTTCAGGATCATCAACTTCTGCCAGCTCACCTTTTTCCCTGTAGAAAAACAAATAAGTAACGAGTTATATACTATAGTCAATGTTCAAAAAAAAAGTTATATACTATAGGTTGCGTGCTTGCTAGCTGTGATTCTAACAAAGAAGGAAATAACGAAAAATGTGAGATGGAGAGGCTTCAAACAAACACAAGAGGATCTAAGATGAAAATGAAACAGGAACAACCAGCTAAGCTAATTGTGCAAAGCAACGTTCTTTGAGAAAATAATCAACAACTAATCAGTAATGACAATAAGTCGTCTGATTAACCGGAGCGCAATTTGTGAGCTGGCCAGCTGGACCTGGGGGCACTTGACACTGGGATTTTTGTTTTTGTCCCACCATGCTTGGTGTATGCTTTGTTTACCAATTTATGATAATATCGTTGTGCAGTGTGCGGTGCTATAGTCTAGTAGCAGTACTTTACAACTTATGATTTATACAGTTGTACTATATACATCCTGGGTAGCAAGGCAAGTAGGCAGGATGACTATACTGCTCGACTAGCCGACTAGCCACCTACTAAATGGACCTGATGATGACAAACTGCAGCTAGTCAGCTGATCCGTACTCACATGAGTAAGCTATTTCAAAACATTGTAAATGAGTAACAGGTTAAAACAGGGATATGTTATACCTTGATACAGAAGATGATGTTGATGGTACGGGTGAAGTTGGTTCTCTAGAGTCTTGACGTTCTGACGAGTTGAAATTTGCCATGATTAGATCTATATCAGCTTTACACCTTGAATTATTTTATAATTCCTACAGGATAAAAATGAAAGTAATTAGCATAATGAATAATAGTGCCAGCCTGTGTCATTTTTGCATTGACATAAAGGAGAAAGAAGGAAGCAAAAGGAAAAGAGGCGTTCCCACTTAATCGTGCAATTACCAAGAGAATAATGAATTGTCCGTTTTAAAGCATGCAGCCAGATCCTGTGGAATAATGCATTAATGCATCATAGCACAGTCAGATCCAGTTCTAACAGCAAAACAAAAGGAGATAGTAGTACCATAGCTTAAACATAGTTCAAGGAAATACTACAAAATTCAAGGTTGAACCAACAAACTCTCTTGTCACCGTGGCTAAAAATTTCAATCCAAATCCTCTACAAGATCTTCAATCTCACCTAGAAATGTATTGATTTTGGTCCATGTAAAACATGAATAAAAGGTTCTTCTTTTTAACCTCAAATCATCAAGTTTCACAAAATCTGGCATGCCGCTTCTGACAATGAGATGTAGTTGCTTTTATAGGAAATGATCACCGGGAAAGTAGTCAAACACATGAAACATACACGACAACCAAAAATTATGTGAAATGGAGGCATGAAATGGAATTTCACGCATAGGTTCCATGGTAGGCTGGTAGCTTATATCATAGGTTGTATCACAGCCACCAACAAGCCCACCATTGCATGGATGAGAAATGAGCCACGTGCAACCATTTTTGCGTGCAATAGTACAATCATGCATCTAGACAATCTGATACAGTTGGATCATGACTTCCACTTGAGTTGTACTCAAATGTTTGCACATGTAGCAGCACTCAGCCACTCACAAGCAAAGGAGACGAGAAGCACAAGCCCCAACGCTTCCTCCAAGACAGTCCTTTCAAGTAGAGTGTTAGATTTGTTATGGTACAGAAGGTATGTGGATGAGACTTATTGAACTATTCGTAGTTAGACGTTCATCAACCAAGCTACTGATTCGACAGGCAACACTTCCTCTTATATACCTTAAACTTCAAGAGCACTATGACTATGACAGAGCCAATCCCCCCAATTCTTGAGAGACAGCAATCTCAAGCCCTCACTCACCCAAATTCAAGAGGCTACAAGGCAGCAACAGCACCCATCTTGGACTCTTTCATTCTGTTCTGTAGATTATTAGTACCATTCTAACTAACCAAGGAAAAAGACTTGTACGTTTCCTTAGATGAGGGCACCGACAGATACCTTTACTAGCTATAGAATTCCTGTCGAATTGTGCCTTCTCCCCTCCTGAATCACAACCATCTCCTCCCTTAAATGGCTCCACTCCGGCACAGTGTCAGTGACACCACACGGCCCACACCCACCCGTCCACCGAATCGGTCAGGATCACAGAAACGGCCAAAAATCAAGCCCTCCTCCACCTCACCCCTACCGACAGAGCCCCCAGGCGTGAGATCTCGGCCGCCGCATCCAACATTCCGCTACCAGAAAGTCTGACGCGCGTCCCGTTGCGCGTTGAAGGCACAGCGCGACCCCCCGGCGCCGGGTTAGTGGCGGGGGCCTGGGGGGTTGGGTCCCGGGGGCTGATCTCTCCCCCAGACCTCCAATCCCCGGCGGGAGGCCGGCCCGGCGGTGGGTGGGTGGAGCGGCGGGGCGCCGCCGGCCGCGGGTGGCGGATGCGGCCGGTGGGGGAAGCACGTCGGGCGGGCTAAGGGAGGGCGGCGAAGCCGTGGCCGTGGGCGGCGGGAGCGCTGGCGGAGTCGCGAGAACTACGACGGCGAGGCCAGAAGAGGATGGTGTCGCGCGGCCCGTCAGAACCCAGACGGGTCGAGCTCAGCGAAGCCCCGGTGGCCCCACGCGAGTTGCTACAATTGGGCGAGCGAGATCGACGAACGGGAGATCGAGAAGGGAGCGTGGACTCACCGTCGGCGGGTGGACGGCGGTGCCCGGCGCCGGCGAGTGGCGGCGGCGGTTCGTCTGGTTCCACTCGCTCGCCCACTGCGCTGGCGGGGGTGTGTGCTCGTGCGTCCGTTAGGGGGAGTGAGAGATGTGAGGAAGAGGAGCTGAGGAGCTTTGGGAGGAGCGAGGACGGGAACGGGAGTGCCTTTTTTTGCGGGTCACTCCTGTCGTTGTCGCGTTATTTCGGAAATGGACAGCCACCTGGGTGATAATGGGCGAATTAATTACTTTCCACTTTGGCCGTGAACAGCTCCGATACGGTGTAGTACTGCACACTACCTGTAGCACAACTGCACAAGTAGAACGGACTAACTTAGCCCTCGTTTAGTTGGGCAGAGTTGGTGGCGGCAGATTCACTGTAGCTACACTGTAGCTACAGTGACGTTTTGTTTTTGCTTGGTAATAATTGTCCAAATGTTGACTAATTAGACTCAAAACGTTCGTCCCGCAAAGTACAGCCAAACTGTGCAATTAGTTTTTGATTTCGTCAACATTTAGTACTCCATATATGTACCACAAGTTTGATGTGACGGGGAATCTTCTTTTTACATAGTGTCAAATTCTGGAATCTGGAAGAACTAAACACCCCCTTACTTTGGAGGAAGCTCAGTAGTCACATAGGAATGGTACTACACATACGATGTACTTCTTCGATATTTCCTCCAAGTCCCACGATAATGGACCCTCTAGGAGTCTTCACGCGTACTAATCCTATAAGCAAAAACGTAAATGCCCTTACTCTCTCCGTCGCACACCACAGTCATCTCCACCATGGACGTCCCATCGCTACCGCCCCTCGCCATGCGGCAAGCAAGATTTGCGTCTTCGACTCCTCCATATTGCCGTCGTCGATGAGGACGGGGCCAGATTGCCACCGCCGCGCCATGCAACCCCTCCACATCGAGCAGTGTGGACGAGGGTGGAGCCGGATCTCCGCCACCGCGCCATCCGCGTCTCCTCCACGTCGGTCGTAGTGGATTAGAGACACGTCAACGAAGGAGAAGAAGGAGGGAGGGGGCACCGACGAAGGCGAAGAGGAGGGGGCGCCAATTAGGAAAGAGCATCTCGACCCCATATCTTATCCTCCAAACAGTGTCGCCTCCATGCCGACGAAGGACAAGCGGAGAAAGGAGGCGTCGGATCTCATCGCCCGTAGCCTCGTCGGTGGAGGAGAAGAGGAGGGAGTCCCCAGATCTCGGCCACCTTAGCCGCACCACACCGACGGAGGAGAAGAGAAGGGGTGCGTCGGGCGTTTGCTGGTGCAAGAAAGAGAGGAGGGTGGCGTCGGTGCGGGTGAAGAGGAGGGCCACACAGATGGAGAAAATGAGGAAGGGATGCCGAGAATGGAAGGGGGCGATCGAGAGGATGGCCACACGCGATGATGTAGTCATACGGTTGTTAGGTGGGACCCACGCCTATAATGACGCTCTTTCTAGGACATCTTTGAAACGCTAGAACGAGAAATACTGTGAGACGGAGGGAGTACCATAGAAAAAGATACTATATGGTATTTAGGACACATTAGTGATGAAGCAAAATGATCTAAATGATTCCTAAAACATCGATGAATAGTGTCAAACAGTATCATATAATACCTCCGCAGTTCTAAACGGTTCTAACATGTCTTCTTTTTAGGGTTAAATTTTGAATGATATAAAGTCTTACTTTAGGGGACTAAGGAAAAATGACATTAAGCGTACGTAAGCATCGATAAAAATAGGACGATGGCTAAGTAACAATACGATCAAATTGTTCTCTCTCCATTCTAAAATATCATTATTTTGGTTTTGTAAGCCAAATTTTAAGTTCACTCAAGTCTAAAAAGAGAAAAAGTACAAACATCTGTTGTATCAATAGGTAAACTATGGAAATATATTTCATAATGAATTTAATGTTACATATGTGATATAGTCAACATCATTATTTTTCTTAAAAAATTTGATAAACTTAGTGTAGTTTGATGACCTAGGGCAAAACTAGACTAGGGATGTTTATATTTTAGAAGGGAGGAGTATATAAAAAGTAAAACCTATATATATACTCACTTTTTTAGGAAAAAAGATTATACTCGGTAAGCTACCCCAATATATTTTGCTGAACTCAAAGCACTAAACGGTGGTTTTGTTGTGCCGATGATGATGATCATGGTCTTAGCTAGTTGAATAGTGAGATGAAGGAGCATAACAAGGGCAAAATAAGAGTAAGCGAGGTATGCTGCCATGGTTCCTGTTTGGATTTACATAGCTAATAATTAGCTGCTAAAACTTAGCTAAGATGGATCTAAATAGGCACAGCTAATAGCCAGGTAATTGTTAGTTAGGCACCTAGCTAACAACTATCTAACAGCTATCTAATCCTTCTAATACCAGCTAATAAATGCAAAAAGATATTTTTTACCCTCTCGCATATCTATATCTGTATGCTCTGCTAATAGCCTTATTTTTACCCTCCCAAATATCTATATCTATATGCTCTGCCAGGGCCTCTAAAACCTGAAGGGCATTGTAGAAAAAAAACATAAATATATTAACATTTTAGCTCTTACATCCAAATAATACCTAGCTAATATTTAGGTATATGAACTATTAGCCAGCTAATATTAGCTACTTTTGAGAAGCCCATTTAAAGAGGCTAAAACAACAACAAAAATAGTGATAGATTCTCGATCACTCATCCGTGGACAGTAGCATATCATGAATCAAACCATTGGTCCTACTAGCGAGGACGAATGAATTGATCTTTGTTTCATGAATGGATATAGGGGCTCAGTGTTCATCGTTCCATGCTCACAGTCAAATAGGTATCATGTTCGTATTTCAAGTATACCAAATGCATCCTGATGAACTTGCTCATGCATATGGTTTTAGCAGCCATGTTCCCACAAGCGAACGAGAACGTGAAATAGAAACAACTTGGGGCGTTATTTTATAACGTGGGAATGTAAATGTTCTCGTTCTTGAAACGTAGAATATGTGGACGTAAAAAGTGGACATGTTCCCCTTTCTAGGCTGCTAAATATATAGCTCGTTGTAATAATAAAAA